ATTTAATATCATATGTTCAGCTGTTTTATGTTTTTTATATTTTGTAAAAAAAAATATCAATTACATTCTGTTGTTCATCTAAACAAGACCTATCTCTCTCTTCTCTTTCTTTTATAATATACTGTTTTATTATTCAAATTACCAACAACCTGTGTTCTGCCAATAATAATATATTTAACTATGATGTCCTCCTCCGGTTTGGAAGTGGTGGAGGACAAAACGAATGATATTAGTGATGGCGGGGGCAGCGGTGTTAACAGTAGGTACATAATCTTTAATGTAAGCATAGGTTGATATGCACATCATTTTAAAGGTCTGGTCAAGTGGAGTTCATTGCCGGAAACCGCGTCAAAAGGTCCATCCGTTTTAAAATGGTGGCAGTCTTGCGGAAAACACCTGCACAGGCCTTAGTATTGGTAAATACTCGTATTAAACATTAGCTTGAGAGCTGAAATTGTATTTTAAAGTCAGCTAGCTCATAGACTAAGTTTATTCAATCTTCAAAACAAATTTAACCGGGTTTCGGATTTCCCGGCTAATGTTGACTATGAGTATTTACCAACTCTAAGCCTGTGCAGGTATATTCTGCAAGAACTTTGGACTGCCGCCATTTTGTAACGGATTAACCTTTTTTGACACGGTTTCGGGCAATGAACTCCACTTGACCAGACCTTTAAAAAGATGTGAATATCAACCTATGCTTAAATTAAAGATTATGTACCTACTCCTCATGGGCCGTCCCCTGGTGAAGGTAAAAAAATGGTAATGCTTGCAAAAAATAGTTTTCATACATATAAGTTGGTGTAAAAGATTTGAATTTTTTAACGAATTTAGTTAAAAAGATATCAAGCCGTTTCTAGACTTTTTTGTCACCCTGTATATATATATATGAGTTTAAACGGAGTGTGTTTTGGCCTCTGGGGCCATAAAGGAAAAAGTAAATCGGTCCCGGGTCTAGGTCTCACCATGAGACCTATGGTAATAGCTTATTCCCTGTATGGGAAATTTGCTAAAATAAAAATTCCCACGGTATTTTTTTATTTTATACTAAGCTATTAAGTATTTTACTAAAAATTACACTTTATTACTCTCCATGTATTAGCAAACCTAAGTACTTGTCAAACCTTATGTTACCTATTTAAATAGATTAAGTGAAATTTAAATAAGGCAAATTGAATTTCGCTTAGTCTGCAGGTTTGCTGAGTTGGAGGTATTTTTTAGACCCAATTCATGATGTACTGAATGTTTAAGATAAAAGAGACCCATATTTTAAAACAAAACAATACTTCCATCGATGTAAAACTTTGAAATTGGGGACCCTCTTTAAGATTTTAAAGTTAAATTCCATAAAAACAAGCAACCAATTAAAATTTACACTACATTGCATTAAAATCCAAGTTCAATAGCACTTAGAATGTAAAAAAGGGTCACACTTTAAGTTTAAAGATTGGTTTTAACTAACTTACAGCATAGCAGAGTCCATGATTACAAGTGCTGTATTGTGTACTGAATTCTTTGAGTATAGGTAACTGATTTGTATGTCAAGTAACAGTCTAATGAACACCAACAAGCTTTAAGATTTCTGCAGGAATGCCATCAGCTAAACATGTTGAACAAGATCAACATGTTTCACTAGATCAAATATAATCATCATGAAATTGCAAATATTAACATTTTGGGCCATAGGGCCCAGGTTATTTTTAAGATGAATCTTTTACACTTAGCTTAGTTGAGTTTCGCTAGGTTTAGTTCATGGTAATAACTATAAAAATAGTTATAAAAAAAACTAAGAAGTATTGATTGTGTGGCAGTGGTTTAGGGTTGAATATAGCCGTCTGTATAATTGTTGTTACTTTTTTACAATGTAAAGTAAGATTGTAGTCACCAGGTGCTCTTCCATTTCTCAGGGATCAGACAACGAAGGATAGTTCCTCTTCCCGAAAAGCTGGTAACGCGCCCTAATCTCCAAATTCCCTTGCTGGTCACGGTGGGTGCTTTGGAAATAACACTTCAATGACAGTAGCCACGGCGACAGGTTCCATGATCCATGACCGTAGGGGGTGATCAAGTCACTAGCTTTTGGGTCACAATCTTGTAGCCTATCACCCAAGGATTATTCTGGATGTCCTGGTACAGTTGCTTCCAGCACCTGATGTTACTCCAGTTGATATCACCATGGTCATCTCGCATGGGGGCCTTGTGCTCTGCCGATCTAGCATTACCTTCAGGCCGGTTTCTGGCATGCTGCGCTGCTCGTCAGAGCCCTAGGCACATTCTCTGGGGTCCTGCAATCTTGGGTTTCCACCAGTAAACTGGCTTCTTTCTGCGGTGGGCGAAAGTCCTAGGCATGGAACAGTCAAATGCCGAAGATGGTGGGACGCATCTTCAATGTGGCTTGAAATTCGGCACTTTTAATGTCCCCAACAGTTTGATTTTTTATGTAACCCTGAAAAGTGGCCTGGCAAAGACAACTGAGGTCCCAACATTGAGACGGATGAGCTGAATTGGCATATGGATACCCAACTCAGGAAAGCTCGGGAAGTTCCCTGAAGACGATTGCCTGATAAGTCCCTTGCAGAGTAGTCCTTGGAGACTCACCAGTCCGTGACTGGTGGGCTAGGGCTTCAGATGCCAGAGAGATGTTAGGGATCATCTTTCCTTGCCAGTGGTGACAGATGATGAAAATGTCACCTGTATTAAGGATATATGAAGGTAGCCTGGCTGCCATCTCTACAACATACTGACCCTCTGTGTTTGTTTGGGGTAAACCCCATTCCACCGATTGAAATCCCTTCAAACAGTCACCTCACCAGCACCATCGATTTTTAAGATCTCGTCCTCCAGAGAGTTGACCATCTGACAGTACTCTGCAATGTGCTGGTTGGGTGTGAAGTAGCAGGAGAAAAAAAAATACTTTATACAAAATATTTAGTCCTGCATAATAATTTTGAATTTAAAACTATCTTACGATATGGTAAAGTAAAGTAGTAGGGCTGTCACGAGTAGAAAATTTAAGGTACGACCCTTGGCGAGGGCTTTAAAAACTTCTACGAGTGTCGTTAACACTATTTACGCGAGTTGCGTACACCACTTTACCTACGACAGTGTTATAATTACTTAAAATCACTACTCATAACTTCTAAGAAGAGAGGTTATGTTTTCGTTTATAGTATCATAGCCACTGAAAATTATGGAACGAAACATTGTACCAAACACTGATTGTTAAGCACCACTCGACAATTAAATGAGCCGATTAGTTCGAATCATTACAATTTTAATTCCTCTATCTCAATAGTTGAACCCATGGTGGAAGGAAAATACAAAGGTGTGCTATTCCCGTAATTTGCTTTTGAAGTCACAGTCACCAAGATTGCAAACACCATTTCACCATTTAGAACAAAAATATATAAACAATAACAATCAAATCAAAAACAAATATATATATTTAAATACGGCAATACTGTACAATCAGGTGATTTTTCGTTTGCAATCTGGGTGACGTCAGAATATGACGGGAATAGCACACCTATGTATTTTCCTTCCACCATGACTTGAACCTCATTGGTCCGTTACCTGTGTTATGATAAAACTACGATGTTATGAGAAACTTTTAAATTCTAACAACTGAGCTGAAACGGCTATTTTAATAAACGGTCGTAGGTAAATGTATTAAAATGTGAATCCAAATATATAAAGTTTTAAAACTGTTTCGGGTAAACATTTGTTTGATCATTCACACAACAAATTCAGCAGTATCTGATGGTTCAAAAATAGTGTTTCCTCCCATGCAACACCTAAAAGGTTTTAATTCTTGTATTTTGAAATGTTTATAATTCTTATGGGTCATGTAAGGGATGTCCTTACCCTCAATGTATAATGGTTCTCACTGTTATAATTTATTTCTGAATGTTGTAGAGCAATGAAACATCACAAAGTAATTGTTGGAGTTTCTATAGATTGACAAACCTAATATTATTTAGCATTTTCGAGCAATATTGCTGCTTTTAAATACATCGAAATACATTCAGTGATTATACATAGTTCCACTTAGTAAATTTTCTCAAACCTGCCTAATGACCTTGGACCAAGGTCCCTTTCATATACCAACTCCCTGATTCCTGGTCCTGCTTTAATGATGCAAGTCCAAAGTACAGTAAAGAAAATGCTTTGGTGAAAAAGTATTATGGGTTTGGTGTTAGTGCATTAATGAAGTTAAAACTGCTTGAGCAGCTGATCAACTGATATGAATGTGGATAGGCCTACTGTTAAATAACATTTTTTTATGTATGAAATGGTCTTCGTTCATTCTCATACGTGACTTCGGAGCGTACTCCTAGTAGTAATATACCGTATATATTTTTTTTTTATTAGGCTATGATGACTTAACTTGCCATAATCAGGTTTGCAGAGCCCTTTAATCTAGTAAGTTGCCTTAGGCGTTGTAATGTGTTTTGAATTATTATTACCTATGTAGGCTATTTCAAAATTCAGCAGTTCAAAATCATCTCAATCCATTTAAATTCATCTTTCACTCATATATTTTGATTTAAATAAGCACCTCTAGCTGGGATTTGCAAAACAATAATTGCTAAGTCAACTTAATTGATAGTACAGAGGATTTTGGAACTAAAATTTGTGTTGGTTAAAGCAAGGCAACACTAAATAAATAGGCTGTACCGTAACTTACTGCTCCTCTGGCATGATGGCATCATAGGCTACGGCAATGACGTAATGTTTGCTGTTTGTGATCAGCTGTTTGTTTTAACCTTTTCTTTCTTAACAAAAATATTACTAAAAACATAACATTACGTCATTGCCGTCGCCTATGATGATGTCATGCCAGAGGAGTATTACAGCCTATTTATAGCCTTGTTAAAGCAGGTAGGCCTATTTCAGGAAAACTCATAAGCTTATAACTCAAACTACCGTCACATCCATAAACTTAACTAAGGTAGCCACTACGTCATAAAATGAGCTTCAAATCACCTTTTAAAACTTACCTGTGAACATTTGGTACCTGCCACAAGGACAGAAGTTTCACCACCAAGAGCAGTAGCAGCAGTTACGGCATGTCTCGTTATGGGGGCCAATTTCTCGTTATTGTGTTCGGCGATGATTAGAGTACTTTGAAATCTAGAAGACACCTGAAAGAATCAAATAAACTGATGTAGCCTACCATAACTTAACTTAAACAAACTAAGCTAGGCCTAGATAGCAATTTAACTTAAAGAGGCAGCTGGAGTTTAAAATTGTTGTTCATTTTATGTAGCCTACTTATCCTTATTTAGTTCCCCGATAAGATTATATTTTAGGCGAACACCTTTTAAAATCTTACATAGCCTAATTTAAAATGTAGCCTAGGCCTAACTTAGTTCAATTCTATAGCAGGATATGTTAGGCCTACGCTCCATAACTTAAGGATGTAAGAAGTAAGAAAGGTTACTGATAGAACTAGGGCTATTAAGTTACCTTACCTTGACACTTTGAAGCAAGCCAGAACTGAGCACCTTTGAAGAAAACATGGTAATGGTAGCTTGTGCACTGCAGTGTCTTGTAATTAATTGATGATTGGGTAAATTAATTTGCACTTTGATTGACCTCACCTAACTTGATCAAAGTATTAGCTAACTTAACCTTTGAATTTTAGTTGACTTATATAACTTAACCTCAAATAATTATCTAGCGAATATCAATAACAATACTGAGTCAAGAATTAATTTCCAACTAAGTGATGCATCACTTCTAAGTTTTTTATTTAAAAAATGTCTATTGAAAATACTAAATCGCGCAAGTGTTTAAAAATCAAGCAACTTGGCAACTTATTTGAGTCGAGTTGGTTGATTGATGTTATGATGATGAGTTGACTGATGATGATGACGGACTATGGAGGACAATAATGGACATGACATTTGATTTTGTTTTTCTATCTAATAGTATCTACTACTGAACTGTACTGACTGGGATTTTGGATCTGGATTGATTTTTTTTCATTTTCAGCTTTATTGCACAGAATATAACAACCTTTGATTATACTTATCCTAAGAAGTATAATCCATGATGTACATATAATAATCTCTTAGGACACTTCGGAAATATAATAATTTATGAATAGCAGGGGCCCATTTCATAATAAACTACAAGTTACAAGTTACAACTTGTAACTTATAATTTCCATTAGATTTGCATTGGGCGATCAGCTGATTTACTAATAATATTAGTTTGTACTTTATTATGAAATGGGCCCCAGGTGGTTGTGTTGTGCCGAAATGGTTTTATCAGTAGTTCATACTAATTGCATCAAAATTGGACTGCAGGACGTGTGGTCTGTAGCTCTGTTACACATCCACATAATAAATACAGAAACACACACACACACACAGACATCACTTTGAAAACCTCTGTTTTGGATCTAGGTGGGCCCAAAACAAATTTATCTACTCAAAACTCAAACTCGAAAATTTTGACGAAAACAATACTTCCTCCATATATACTAATTGGGGGAGAAAGTAAAAAACAGATTAGTACAAAACTCAAAACTTAATATTCAATTCTACTGAGAAATACACTGGCAGGCTGGCACCGGAGTAATCAAAGTATTGGAATTCATTGAATGAGTAAAATAGGGGTGACTAAACATAGTTATTTTCCTACAGTTGCCTAACAATGTACATGTTCTCTCACTGATTTGAGAAAGCAAAGTGGCCAATTCGCTCATCAGTGAGACAATGTTAACATTGTCTCACTCTAATTACTTTGTCTCACTCCAGATTTGCAACGTTAAAGCACGAAATAGTGAGCGCATAACATGTAGACAAGGTTGTATGCGGGCGAAATACGTTGGCAGCAATGGCTGTAAATCAGCTGGTCAGCTGTTGTACTGTTGTATTTGTCACAGCATTAAATTTCATGAGTCAAGTTCACTTCTGTGTTAAAATATGTTACGTTTCTTTACCAATTTATTTGTTTTATGGTAACTGTAGGAAAAATATAATGTGCAACTCGAGTGCAAAGTGCAATTGCCTCACTCGAGAAACCATTCCTCACTCGCCTACGGCTCGTGAGTAAGTATTTCTCTCGAGTGAGTCAATTGCTCACTTTGCTCACTAGTTGCACAAATAACTATTCTTACAATTATTTCAAATTGAAATAGTGAAGTGATTGTGAAAACTGTTTTATCTTATGACAAGTTTTGCTCTATACATAGAATACCCATCAGAAGAGGCGAAGAGGCTTCACGTTCACATTGTATGATATGAAGAAAAGAAAAGGGAATATCTATACTGTAGGACGGCATGGTGAGACTTATTAACGCTCATTCTATTCTATAAGTACCTACTCAATTAACTCATCACTAAACCTGACGTTTTTCTAAATAGGGAATACATCTGTAATTTTAAGGAAACGTTTAAGTGAAAATCTAACAATAGTGAATAAATAAAAATAATAGTTGTGAGGCAAATGGAAATTTGCTTAGTCTAAAGTCTGCAGGTTTGCTGAAGTGAGATATTTAAGTGAAACAGCAGCTATAGGGCTTGATCTGAAGCATTATATGCGGGATCTCCATCTCATATACTTGGATTGGAAGTGGTTATTTTTTTATTCTAAGGAATATAATTTTTTAACTCAATTTCAACTGTACAGGCAATTAATTGCACGATACTTTTTGCTGCTTTTTGGGGTTCTTTATTGTAAATTCGAGTTAAACTATGTGTTGATAATTTGTTTTATGAGTTAGTTCCTGCACCTCAGTTGAGATGGGCACTAATTAAGTAAATAAATTACAAACTATAATTTACCGAGGGCTGCAGTATGATTTTTCTAGACCTCAACTACAGAGTGAACTTTAAATATTTGGAATGGTAGAATCTAAATAGCTTACATTTTAAAGTAAAATGGTTCAAACCTTTGAAAGTTATAGAATGGGAATCAATTCTACCCCTCAAAGTACATGTTCTGACTTCTGTTTACTTACATTAGTCAGGAAGTATAATTTTATATTTACTAGAGGTCATCCAGTGGCCGAAAACTTGACCAAAATTATGTAAGTACTGACTTCTCTAATAAAACATGTAATTAGGATTTCTTTCATTTGTTTTGATTTTCTATTGTTTATATTTTGTTGTTTTTCGGTCACCAGAGTATAGCAACCCATAAGGCCCATGTTAATTTTTTAACAATTTTGAATCCATTTTGTGCTTATTCTGAGCCTATTTTAATTTATAAAGGGGATTCTGCACTGCACATCTACAGGAAAATATCTTTCTAACAGTTGAGTGTTTCGTGTTGGTGACGTTTGAGTGCACTGGCGTCAACTCAATGTTTCACTCTTTTAAGGGTAGATTTTACAATTTGTATGCACTCTTTTTTATAGTTTACATAATTTGGACAGCTGTATTCAGGAAAATTTCCATCATAGTAAATTGAAATTCTGAAACTTAAATGATAAAAGTTAAAATTAACTGCGCGAGTTTCCGTTATATTACTTTTACAATAAAAATAAACTATACAACTATACTACAAATACAATTTAAATATATACTATTTATTATTAATCAAACCATTGCTAAACTTGTAGCTTAATTTGTATTAACCGTTTTTAGTTATTTAGTTAGGCGCAAATAACTGAGTAAATGGTCAAAATAAAGACCAAGGATTGGCCAAGGACAAAGTTCACTTAATATTGTGGATTTTCATGTCCTGCCCTACTGAGTAAAGTGGGGCAATAAAAAAAGTAAAATCTGGTGAGTAGGTAAATGTATTTTTTTACTTTCTTATTAACCAACTACAGTATGCCCACCGGTAATTATTAATTAGTCATCCAAGACACATACAAATGATATACTGATTAATAACTCAACAAATTTTTTCAGTTTCTAGTTTGACGAGTTTGTTTCACTATTTGACCCATTCAGTGGGTGAGACCCGGAAACTATTCAGTAACATCCTGTATGTAGTGACAGCATCAAAAGGGAGACTAGCAATCATTTGATTAGTGCCACACTCATATTGTTACTTATCAGCTGATCTCTCCCCTATAACAGCTGTGTTATTGAGTTTCATTGTTTACAATTTTTATCTAGAGCAGATAAGACCCCTTGTGTTTAAGTACTCATTGAACCAAAGCTCTTTGGATAGGACATCTAGTGGGTAAGACTGATAAATTCACTGACTATGATTATTTACATGACTAGAATTACACTGTATAAGTTAGGTACTGTTTCTAATTATTTTTCTCTAACTACGATGGTAATGTTTTGGAATGTTACAAACTAAACTTTTTACAAGTATTTCAAAATCTATGAATTATATAATTAAAAATTAAGCTGTACTGTATAAGCAAATTTCCTTATAGGGATGAACAAGTTATTACTAGGCAGCATGGAAATACCCAGGAGTGATTTACTATTTCATTTTTAAGTCCCCAGAGGCTACCCTATTCGTTCAAATTTTCTAATTTTTAGATAATTTTAAAATCTGTTCCCCTCCCAGGATGGCAGACCAAATTGTAGCTCCAGGTGAAGAGATCAAACCTAAGATAAGACTGGCAGAAGCAATCACACTGGCAGAGCATCTTTATGGCATTGATGTTTGTGAAGCTAAGGAACTTGATGGTTATGATGACAAAAACTACCACTTAAAAGTAAGAATATTTGTTACTTGTTGGTGCATTTATATATATTTTGTCCTGTGATACTTTATATATATTTTGTCGTGGTATCGTTTTCTTTTCAGGTTAGGCCTAGGAGTTGTGCACTTGGAAAAAAATCATTGGTGATTGGCAGTATTTGAACCCGGGACTTAAATCAGCTCACTCGATTAAAACACAGTAGTTAGATTACATTCATCGCACATTAAAATCGTGTTATTCATTGTTGAACAGTAAAACTAACTTATTGATTAGCATTTTATGTTATCACACCTCTTTTTTTAAACTAATGTTTAAGATCTGTACCATATTCATGAAGCGAAAAGTAAGGATCAAGACAAATTACCAGTAATAACTTTTTGGTTCATTAATTAGCCCTATTATTCATATTCATAATAGATACAATCAACTATGATATTTTTTATATAAAGGGTAAAACTATCATTTAAATTCGAGTTTTTTTTTTAACAGGAGCTATGATTATTTCTTTGGTGTCCTTTATATTTTCATAAACATATTAGAGTTATGATTTTAAGCAAGTCTACCTAACCCGCCATGTTAAAATTTCCCTATCCCAAGATTGATGTAGGCCTATACTACTGCTTTACTTCACATGTGAAGTAAAGTTTCAAAAACTCACTCGGTGAAGTAATGAAACCCATTTAAATAACATTGAGTGCTCAACAAAAAATTATACCTCTATATGGAGCCAACGATGTTTAACACTAGAAATCAGCTGTGCACTTGAATTTTATTGTTATGCTTTAAAGAATTTTCCTAACAAAGCTTTTGTTTGTAAAAGAACGTTACTATTAGAAGATGAGTGAAATGGATAATGAAAAATATTGTACCCGACCTGACAATATATAGGTGCGTGATGTGATGTAAAAACACACTTACTACACTTGTAAGGTAAATGCTATTTTACAACTTGTATAAAATATAGTTACTGTGTTTATTTGAGCTTAGACGGAGCAAGATTCCAGTCAATGAAAGTAATACCCCCGCCGCAGCAAACCTGCAGACCAAGCAAATTTCCATTTCCCTGAATGGATTTACACTAAAATGTCTCCTTAAAATTATCACATTTATTCCCTATTTAAATAGAATCAGTTTAAAAACATACTTAGGTTTGCTGCAACAGGGAGGGTAAAAGTGTTTTTTATGTAAAATGTTAATAGTTAGTAAGAAATAAAAACATTTTCCAAATTTGGGCAAAATATGTTTATAAACAAGCAAACTACAACAGTTTACTTATTCTCCATAAGAATAACATGGGAATTTTAAATTTACAATTTTTTTGGAATTTTCTCCGTAACCATTAGGCGCATTATAACGCTTCAATATACTAAATTATTTGTTTTTTTAAGCTCTACAAAATAGTTTCAAAAGAAATTGCAAAATTTTATGTTTTTTGGGTCAAAAATGGGAAAAACCCATTTTTTCCCCATAAAAGCCCCCATAAACCCCCGTTCCCATGGTCCGATCATGCTGGTTCGCGAACTCGTTCGAATAAACGTAGGTTTACACGTTTGTACCAAATTTAATCAAAATCGGATCATTTTTGCTCGAGTTATCGCGCTAACGGACACATATATATATATATATATATATGAATTTGAACGGATGGTGTTTTTGACCTCTAGGGACCTCAAAACGAAAAAAAAAATCGGTCCCGGGTCCAGGTCTTACCGTGAGTACTACGGTAATAGCTTATTCCCTATATGGGAAATTCGCTAAAAAACACACTATTTCTAGCTAAAAACAGAAGAAAAAACAAAATTTCAAAATACTTAAAAGCTGGGTTTTCCTAGGCGCGGAAGCGAAGAGAGGAACGCGGAGAGCGGAAAAGAGATTAATATGGTGTTTCGCTCCGCTTCTAGGAAAACAGTAACATTAAATTATTACCTAAGACAAGTGGAGTCCGCTCTCCGCGTTCCTCTCTCCGCTCTCCACTTCCGCGCCTAGGAAAACCCGGCTTAATATAGTACTTCATGTACAAAAATACATATGTTGTGGAGTTACTAATTAAATCATTATGATGATTTCAGGCAAAATCCATCACAAATAATAAAAACATACCACATATTTCACCACATGGGTATGTCCTAAAGATTATGAACTCTTCTGATTCCGAAAAAATAGATTGCGTACAAGCCCAGTGTGAAATTATGATACACCTTGGTAAGTATAAGTAGCAATTACAAATGCTATACTTCCATCACAAGTTTATATTTACATTTTTGGTATTCTACACATGGCAAAGATACAACCGTAAAATACACATTCCGTTGCAATCCAAACATGTGATTTTTACCTGTCCAAACAAACTTTTACCTGTCCCAAAAAGTTAAAACTAAATTCCCAAATAGCTCATCAGGCTGAGCACTACTATTCTTTATCTTTTATTAAGACTGTGTATTGTTCAAACAGCTGTCTTTTATATAAATTGTAAAACTATGCTATGCTTTAATAGTATACTACGTTACTAGTCCTATGAAAATAGGTGTTTATTGGACGAGTATGGTTGTTCCTGTGCAAGACAAAGTCGAGTGCAGGATTACCATACGAGTCTGGTGAACACATTTTGGACGAGTGGCGTACGATATTTTATGCCATACTACTCTAAGCTAACTTAACTGTAAAAATCTGTACAAATCTTTATATTTCCATAGGACTAACCAACCACTACTCATAACATCTAAGAGAGGTTATGTTTTTGTTTATAACCACTCATTGTCAAATATAATCAGCTGGTTGGTGTCCATTAAAAACTGATTACAGTATAGTAGTACGTAACTAAACCCCATTTGATTAAGCTGGCGGCAAACAGCTGTTTTCTGGACTGTTTTCCTTTGGTGGAAAGTTCGTCAAAACGGTGTTGTGTGGCATAAAGAGAATTACTAGACACCTGTGTGCTTATTTGCAACGCGATGAAAAATTTTATTCACTAGTCATCATCACTAAGTTCCATTCCAAGGCTTGATAGTTCTGTTGTTTTCCATGCTCAGCTTTGCCTCACTCTTAAACCACCTATCCCGGAAACGGTTATTTTCAGGACTAAACTACTACTTTTCTTGTCAATTTCATCAAATTTTAAAAGTATATTTTTTATGCATGAGCTGAACTTTCCAAGTACAAACTTTCAACACAAAGTAAAATGTGTATTGGCAAAAGCATGAAGCTTTTATGGTACCGTACCATTTTGAAGAAATAGAAATAATTTTGTAGACCCCTAAAAATATAAGGACCTCTCTGCTGTTTAGAGACCATTTTTTAAGAAACTTTGCTGTAGAATTTCATATCTGGCATAACGTCCACTTTTATGTTTAAGTTCATTTTTTCTAAATATTTTGCTTTATTCAGGAAACAATGGAATACAAACGCCACAACCTCAAAAAAGCACGGATGGAAGTTTGTTCTGTATTCAAGAACTGCCTCAAAACAATAAAGGTAGACAATTTTTATTGAAATTAATCATGTACAAGTCCGCATATTGTTTCAAGTTGAGTAAAATAGTTAACATGTTATTCTATGAGTAAAAATGTAAAATAAGAACTATGAGTTCTATTATCATGTTACAGCCTGTGTACTAAATGTATCAACGTAAAAAACTTTATACTCTCATTTAATTACCTTCACAGTTAGTTTATGATTTTTCAATAAAATAGGAACTTAAAAAGTGAATGGGTCAGAGCATTGATGGTGAATTTTTAGTACCTTATCAAGAAAAATCCAGCTTTAATGCAGTACCAAGTACAGGTAATATACTTCAATGGACATTTATTTATACAACTTATTACATTGCATTATGTACTTTGTTAACAATTTATTTTCTTAACTCGATTTTTCTCTTCACTAAATAACCTTGATTGTAAAAATATACCAATTGTTGAAAAACTTTAATTTCAGATAACAAACCATCAAAGAAGCATGCTGTTAGACTTTTAACGTTTGTGGATGGAAAGATGTTAAAGGATTTACCATGGACTTTAAAATTCCACTTTGATGTTGGGGTGTACACGGCAAGACTGGACTTGGTGCTCCAGGTACAAAATAATTAAATTAAAGTACTGTACCTACAACCTTATTCTTTGTTGCCTCTGATCAGGGCCGATTTACTGAATAGGCACAGTAGGCACGTGCCTAGTGCACGAGGCAATTTGGCTTTTTGGGGGGCGCCAAAAAATTGGAAAATAAAAAAATGGTACAGTAGTTATATTTGCATGCGATCGCTGTAAACTTTCTGGTAATCCCTCGCGTCCGTGTGGACATCGTAATCGTCTCCCGCGATTGTGGTAACGTTATCCCTCAGTTATGTGAAGAACATCTTCGTCTTCCATGATCGCGGCCAAATTCTAACGGTTTCCTGCGGTCGTGTAGACATTATCATCATCTGCGATGGGGCCAAAATTCTGATCATCCCTCGGGGTTGTGAAGACATTATTACAACGTCTCCCGCGGGCATGTATACATAATAATCGACTCCCGTGATTACGTCAAAATGGTAATCATATCCCGTGGTCGTGTGGAGATCATCATCGTCTTCCTTGAATGATACATAATCCTGATCATCACTCGCGGCCGTGGAGACATCATTATACTGTATCTATATCCTCTCCTGCGGTCGTGTAGACATAATAATCGTCTCCCAGGATCGTGGCAAAATGGTAATTACAGATAGTGAGTAGTGAGTCGGAGGCTCAGTCGGTAGCGTCGTTCAGGCCCAAGGCAGCGATGTCGTGGGTTCGGATCCTGGTCACTGCCACAAAAATTTATCAGTACAGTTCACCTTTGTACTGTACTGTAGCTCACTCCTTGCTTTGCTATAAACGATCCACGCACGGGCGCTTAGTCTATGTGGACGGGCAAATGCAAGGTTAAAAGAGGCCGCCAACCTCTTATTTAAAAAAAAAAAGATACTTTTCCCGGCCGGTGGACACCCTGAATTGCTGCTATTAGTTTTGCCTAGGGCGCTAACAGGGTCAAAAACGGGCCTGCCTCTGATCTTGAGTAGTAGCCATGTAGTTTTGGAGCTTCAAGATTATTCCCAGGTTCAAGGACTTGAATTACATAAAATTAGTTACAGTATTAACATATTAAAAAAAATAAAAATTTTAAAATATTTATCTGACTTAGAGATAATGATACATGTATTTTTTTTGACCTAATAATTTTTGTTCCACAAAACAAAATTTTTTTGGAGAATCATCCCTATATAAGGAAGAACTATTCATTGTTGTTAAGCATAGTTAACTTAGACCTAGAATCGATTTACTTTTTTGTTTCGTTGTCTTTAGAGGCCAAATACGAATAAATATGTGTGTGTGTGTGTGTGTGCTTGTGTATGGCTGATAACTCAATTAAGTAAAGTAATTGTTTCAAAAGCAACTTCATACCCAGTTAAATTAATTGTTAACAGATTCCCATGAAGCAGTTAAACTATGCCATTATTGAATCTTTGTTGTCTAAAAACGTTGCTTACTAACACATTTTTCTAATTAAGAAACAATACAAACAAATTACTGAAACATGGTATACACACTAAACTAAAAGACAATGTTTATTTTCCAGAATTTCTCTCATCCAGCTTATAAACAGTACTCTTCATTGTGGATGCTGAAGAACATGCCGACAATCGAGGACTATTTATTTGTTTTTAAGGAAACTGACAAAAGGATTGAAATGGTCAAAGAGGTTGTGCAGAGTTTCAAAGACCAAGTCTTAAAAAACTTAGGTTCACTAAAATCAGGTATAGATCAACAGACATCATCAAATTTGCAGACTATAACAAATTCATAAAAAAAGATTCTTTTGTATGAAATTATGCATCTGCTTTGTACACACAAAACTATACTATTATCAAAGTAATAAGAAACAAGCAGGATTATATACTTATTCATATGTATAGTGTATAACATAAACTGAAACTGTATTTTTTGAATTCATACTATTGGCAACACTGACTCAATAACTCACTGGCCACCATTTTGGACATGTAGAAAACTCTCTCTTTCTTAGTTGAAAATGAAGTCAGTGACAGTGAAATATTCTAATGTTTTATGTATATATATATATATAGTGTAAATGTTTGTTTTTCCTGTGCCAGGTTGGACTCTTTCCCATTCAGGTAAGCCTGCTATCCTCTAAAAATCCTAAAAACCTAGGCCCTTGTGCTCTATATTACACCCTTAAAGTAATAAGTAAGATGAAGATGCAACATCAAACAGTAAGAATGACAACCTTATATTTAACCAAACATAATGGAGAAAGTATAGATTTTGTCAATATTTTGAGTTTGTGTTATGGGTGGAAATAACCATTTTGGGATCATGAACACAAAAAATGGTTTTTGAAGTGACATCTGTGTGTGTGTGTGTGTGTGTGTGTGTGTGTGTGGAGAGCTACGACTTCACCTGTCGTTCGAGTTCGATATGATTTAGTATGTACACTAATCCATGGTATCTCCAGGCATTTTTAAATTTTGATTTTTAATGGTGATTTTCCCATAAAGTAAAAATTAATAAAATAAAAAAATATCTGATATTAAAAAAAGGCTTGATAGATTATTATTAAAATTTAGTACGTTGTAGTCTTTTGAACTCTAAATAAAACTATTCAACCCCCAATCCTTTCAAAATTACAATTATAAAATTAAAGAATTTTTTTGTTAAAAAGCCTAATCCTCCTGGTTAGGTACCCATTGTAATTGTTCTAACATTTTTCCTTACAAAAGTAGAAGAATGTTCCATCTTAATGCTGTCTTATTTTACCAAAATCAAGCTGATGAAAGACAGTACGAGTCAGTTTGCAGATACCGTTTGTTTTATCTTTCTATCTCGGACAGCCAGCTCATCCTCGTCTAGAACTTGTTGTATGAAGTGATGTGTTTATCGTTCAGGAATGATCCACGGGGATATCCACGACCAGAACCTACTGTGCCAGCTGATTGACGGAGAATGGAGCATCAACGCTGTGCTGGACTTCGGCGACTCACACTACTCCGCCTACGTGATAGAACTGGCGTTGGCCACTGCCTACATGATACTGCAGAGTGGCCTGGTGGAGTCAGGAACACACGTTATCGCTGGCTACTGTTCCATACTTCCTCTGCCACTTGATGAGCTCAAATTGCTCAAGGTAAAGTGGTACAAGGAAATAGTGGTGGAAACCAGAAATTTTATATCTCACAACCTAAACCAAAACTTAAAATACAATCCTGAAACTGGAAGCAAAATGTTTTTACGTACCTCGATAAGGTTAGAAAATACACAACCAAAACTGAAAGAAATTGGACTCCTAAACCTAACAAGATAACACCAGTATGTGACGATACGTTTTATTTAAATATAAAAACGATTTTTTTAAACGACAAAAAATAAAATAAACTAGGTGTACAATGCAGTTGTCTGCTTGCAATATTGAGCAGAGCCAGCATATTCAATATCAATGATTTTTTTGCATTTTAAATAGAATGCCTATTTGCAGAGGTATCCAAAGTCAATCATAAGTCAGGATTAAGTGAATGAATCGTCTACTTGCAGGAACCGTATTCTATGTTTCATCTGGTTCTCATAAATTAAATGTCTACTTGCAGTATCCAATGCCAATGATATATTTGGTTCGCATAAATGGAATGCCTATTTACAGATTCTAAAGTCAATAGTACGTATGGTTCACGTAGACGGATTGTTTACTTGTAGTATCCAAACCCAATGGTACATGTAAATGAATAGTCTACTTGCAGTATCCTCAATAAATCAATGGTCCATTTATTTTGTTCACATAAATAAAATGCCTAATTGCAGTATCCGAAGTCAATGGTAGGCTTAGGCCTACTTCTGCTACACTTATATGGGATGTCTATGTGCAGTATTCAAAGTCAATGATACGTCGGGTTCAAGTCAACGAATTGTGTTATATTTGATTCACATTAGTGGAATTCCTATTTGTAGACTGCAAATAGGAATTGAACATGTTCCAATCAGATAGATATTCAAAGTCTACATTAATTGCACGTCTTGCTCACATAAAATGTTGTAAGTTATTTACAGATTCCAAACGCAATATGGTGCATCAGCCTAATTCCGGCAACCCTTATTATTGGTTTAAGTCCTGTGGTCCGAATATTACCATTTCAGATTTATACCTTCCCATATGGTTGGTTACATGACTGTGCCAAATTTCCTGCAGATCGCTTAAGCCTGTCAGGTGGAGCCTGACCTGTATTTGTAAAACAAAGGCAGTGAGTGTAGTATAAGAGCTTCGCTTCACTCCGCTCAATAATTTCGATACTGCAAATGAATCATGGTAGGCCTAAGCAATACCTGTATTATTAAAAGGCAATAACGATTATTATTATATTATTATTACCCATTGTATGTAGAATTTGCTTTTCTTTATTTTTTTTCAATGTCTTCTTTCTTCATTATTAAAAAAAGAATCATTTATTTGTACAGAAGACTTATTTGCATTGAACATTCATAAAACTCACCAATTCAATTACCTCAATAACTGTTTACCAGTATTATTGTTGTGAGGGATTGGGGTTAGCCTCACTTAGTATAGGCCTATAACTTAGGTCTAGTTTTATTTTAGCAGTTAAAAGTAAGAAATTGTCGTCAACCACTTTCAAAATTTCCCTATTGTGCAATAAAATTTATCAATACAACTATTTTATTGTCTAAGTTACACCATTTAGTCTTAAACCTTACCTGTAAACCACGTGGTTGTGATTTCATTTCGTAAAACGATTTTGTATTTTTAGCTACAAGAACATTTTTTACAAAGTTTCTTGCAAATCAAGGGCGGTGTGATTTTTGTTGGTATAATTATGTTGTAGTGTTTTTTTAATGACCTCGTTTTATCTTCTCCTTCTCCAAGCAACATAAACTTAGGCCTAATTAGTTAACTATTCATTGTTGTTAAAAAGAACAGAACCATTTTACAATTAAATATAAACGGCATGGAGTTTAATCACTCAATATAGAACTGATTGTTAATCATTTCGTATTACATACAATATACTATAATATGCTCTTTAGTATTATCCAATTTTTTCTTTTGTACTGTATTTATCATGTGGTAGATTTGTTGACTAATGTTGAGGCTCTTGTTTACTTTTTAGTGTTTACTCGCAAATAATGACATGGCGACCAATTAACCCATAAGGCCCATGTTAAATTTCCAAAAGTTTGCATTCATGTAGGGAAAAGTCCTATGGTCCGATTTGTACCGTTTCAGATTTATACCTTCCCATGGTTGGTTACTATGACTGTGTTAAATTTCATGCAGATCGCTTCAGCCATTCAGGAGGAGTATTTGTAATAAAAAAGCAGGAGTGTAGTATAAGAGCTTCGCTCGCTCCGCTCAATTAAACTCCTAACGCTGATATAAAAAATAAATTATATTAATACCATACACTAACCACCACTATAGTTCGGCCGCATAGAAAACGACCTGTGTGCTAATGCTAAACCAATGCTAGAGGAGGTCGCTTTCTAAGCGGCCGAACTATAGAAGACTTATCATCCCATTGTAAATTTTGAAGCTTGTTTTTCATGTCTAGTTCATGCTGGTGACACTATGATCGCTAGTGTCCACAAGATTTTTTTCTATTATTTTAGGGTTATTTTCATGTTTTGTGCTGTATTATTTGGTTATATATAACCATAGATAAAACATACTCCCTTAGTAGATTAGTCATCCTAATGGAACAGCTGAAGCCAATTTTATTGTTAGTTCTGTACGTCCAACTATAGAGGTTATGTTTTGTTTACAATTTGTTTCTTGTTATTGCAGTCATTTAAAACCTCGTTTAACCTAATAAAACGATATAATCATAAACAACAACTGGTCTCCTAGTTATATAACCAAATAGAAAAGCACAAATCATGAAAATAACCCTAAAATAATAGAAACAAAATGTTGTCTACACTAGCGATCAGTGTGGACGTACATGAACTAGACGCAAAAAACAAGCTTCAAAATTTACAATGGGATGAGGAGTCTACTTGTGTTGCTTAGTCTATGATATAACTAAGATGTGAGTTGATCTTTATGATTAGACCGTTTTATTTGGTTAAACGAGGTTTTAAATTATTGAAATAACAAGAAACACCACCTCTACTAAGGTAGTTTGAAGATAAAAATGTAGTCAAAACTAGAGTGATCTTCAGTGTTAGGTATGAAGTGTTATGTGGCGTTACTGGGAATGCCCATCATTGCTAAGGCACAGTCCTTCATGCAACAAGGCCACCAACTCACCAAATAAACACTTTTTTCAAATTGTCAAACTAAAAAGATATTTTAACCTTCTAAAGAAATCCTTTCATGAGAGATTAGCAATCAAGGTGAGTAAAATCTGGGATTTCCTTGGGTAGAATTGCTTACAAATTAATCCAATTGTTAACACGCTTTGTTCGATAAAGATTTCTGTTCCAGGTGTGTGTGTGCGCCAGACTTTGTCAAAGCTTGGTCCTTGGTCTTTACACTCACTCCTTATATCCTTCCAACGATTATGTCCTCACCACCCAAGCTGGAGGGTGGCAACTGCTCACACAGATTTGGACTATGGACAGAGCCGCTCTGGAAAATCAGTGGTTTGCACAACTGCCACGGGAACACAAAATCACGTAAACAATGTTTCAGCGAAATGTATGTAGTTTACTGGCTCTGATAATAGGGTGGTTACAGGACCAGGAGAATGTCCTGTAATGTGTGGAATTGAGTTAATGGATTATACAGTAAATACCCTCGCCGCAGCAAACCTGCAAATTTCAATGGGGCTAATTAGATTTTTACTGCAATATTTCAATACAAGTAATGTTTATTCCTTATTTGTAAATCATTAGATGTAATAAGTATTTAGGTTTGCTGCTACAGGAAAGGTAGTAGAATATGTTTTTTTTTATGTTAATAGTATAGTAAGATGATAGGAATAAACCTGTCAAGTTTAATCAAAATATATCCATAAAAAAGCAAATTATTACAGTTTTATTATCCCCCATATCAATAACATTATAGTAGTTTATGCAACGATTGTGTAAAGATAGTGTTAACGACACGAGTAGACAATTTAAGGTACGAGCTTTGGCGAGAGCCTTAAAAACTTCTATGAGTGTCAGTGTCATTACACTATTTTATCTACGAATGTGTTTTAAATAATTACTAAAAATCACTGTTCATAGCTCCTAAGATAGGTAGGTTATGTTTTCGTTTCACCTCTCATTGCCATTGGATAGTATTGCATCCAAAAAATTTTACCAAACACTAATTGCACCACTCAACAATTAAATTGGCCTGAACAGCTGATTAGTTGAAGTTTGAATCGTTACAATGTTACTTCTTCTCTCTAAATCTTTGAACCTCATTGGTCTGTTACCGTACCCGTGTTGTTATGAGTCAGGATTACAATTTTTCAAGTGACCCTTAATGTTAATCTGTATTATTATGAACTACAATTAGTTAATATGGTGATGAAAGTAGTTTTCAATATATCAAAGTCTTCTCCCAGTACAGAACAATTATTTTCCAAAGGTGAGTGAGCAATAGCGAACGAACTTCAACCAGGATCTTGAAAATGAACAAGCATTTGACATAAAACCACATTAGGACAGGACGACGTCTGTCGGGCTAGCTAGTATTTTATAAACGTTATAATTTTGTCAGTATATCTTGAAAATACACACTTAATATGCAAAGCTATTCAGTATTAAATAAAGATTTAACTGACTACCAGGACCCGTCTGTAGAACAGGATGAGCCCCACTGCTAGTCACAAATATAAAAAAAAGCTGAATTCAATGCTCTGTAATATCTGTGGCAATATAAGTAGGCCTATTGATGATTAAGTGGTTAAAGAAACAGAAAAATTTAAAATATTTATAGTGTATTTACATTAAAGAATAAACAAAAACACATATTACAAAAAAAGAACCCAGACTTATAATTGCTTTCAAGTTCAGCTTTAAAAGGAATGTCATGCCTATTATATATTGATATTTTAAATTTTCAACTTTGATATTTCAGTACAGTAAATATGAAGAAGTGAAATATTTTAGGCGGTCTCAATTTAGACGATGACCACTATAAGGTAAGATTAAAATTACCAGGAATAAAACAAAAATAATACAGCCATTCTTGAGAGTGGAGAATTTATCCTCCTACGAAAATCAAACTACATTTATTACAGTTTTTGACTCAATATTAAATTTACTGTAGCTCGATACAAAAAAACAGTTGTATTGCAACCGTTTTAAAAGTTCATATAAGTTGGTCATGAAAATAATACACAGCTTGTAATCATTATCCCACCTGTTCTAGATACAAAATTTTATCATTCCACTGGTAATGTCATTCACTATTGAAACATATCACAATTTTACCTGTAGGTACATCACTTTCACGCTTGCACCGTGCACTTTGGTATCCACAATAAATAGATTGCAGGGTTACAGATCTAAATTACAGTTCCGTATGTTCAATGTGGACTTGTTTCTTAGGATTGAAGTCCGACGGATGGATGAACAGTCCTTCCAAAGCTTTCCAATGCACAGGGTTAGAGTTCGGCCATTGGACTCCTACGATCTCGTACTGTCCGTTGATTGGCCGTCCGTAAGTGTTGCTGGTCACTGACAGATACCTGAGAAAAGTAAATAGCTTCTTAATATGCAATTGCCAATGTAAATGTAAGATAGTATAAATTACATGAAATTTACTGTTTTAGCTAAATACAAAAATATAACTGTTTTTATGGGCATAGTACAAAGTAAACATAACTAAAACACTAATATTTATTCCAATTATTGCCAGTTTGGAATTTAATTCAAACTAGCTGTTACCCATGGGCTTCACCCCGTTTGACTTCATAAGTATTAATAAAACGATTGATTGGTTAAGTTGAGCTGAAAAAAAAAACAGAATACAGTAATACAAACAAATAATCACAACTGATTTTAATAAGGTAATAAATTGAAAGAATAACAAACAAATAAGTATAGCTGGAGCTGAGGTATTTTTAACATTAGGTATATGGAAAGTTCCCTTTAGAAAGGAATTACGACCTTAAAAGGCAAGGTTAGTTTTCTCAAAAGTTCATGGGTACTTTGGGATTTATATAGGGATATTTCTACAAAAAATATATTTCACCCCCTGGCAAAAGTGTATTTTCTACCCTAGCCCATTTTCCGAGGTTGGAAAGAGCCACTTTACGCCCTAGTGATGAAATACTTTAGTTGTCTCATTCCAGAAACTGTAGACAAAATACAAAGTGCAATTCGTGATCAAAGTGCCCATTGTAAACTCAACAAAATCAACATTACTTAAAAAATACCAATTTCACTAGTTCAATAGATAATTATTTCTCAACAGGGAGTAAAACTCTTAATATAAACCAGAAAACTACTAACGCTAGACTTACTGAGTTTATAGATAAACTTACACATCTGTATCAACATGTTTGAGCATTACTTTCTCATCTCGCTCCCAAAAATCCCCGTCACAAATGACAATCCAATGGTCACCAGTGTCACCATCACCTGTGAAGAAAAGCTTCATGATAAAAATTGTTAATCTCAAGTGGTGGAAGAAGCATTATGTCACTGTTGAACAACTAATTTAATTTTTTTCAATTTTTTTTTACTTCAATATAATTCAGAAAAAGTTTTATTAAATTTTAAATTGTCATCAATTTTGTATGAACATAAAACTGGCTAAGTCTGTTCGCTAAGGACGATCGGCGGGTTTAATCTGATGCCTTAAATGAATTGTGTAGGCACAAAGTTTAAACCTTTTATGAATAACAATGCGTAGTGTCGATTTAGATATGTTTTAATACTACTAAAGACTTTAGGGAATTTATTTTTTTTTTCTTGCTTATAATGCAGGATCGTCGGATTTCTTCAACTTTGTCATCACTTGTTTTGTGACCTTTCAAAACACTTTCTTTGAAACAAAACAGATTAAACCAGCAACAAAATTGCTTTATCATCAGGTGGATTTAAAATTTCTCAAATTTAATTTAACTATCAATTTTACTCTGCAAAAGATCACAGCCGGAAGTATTGTACTGCCGACTGGCATGTGAGTCACACAACTGCAGGCTGTCACCGCATATCTTTTGGCGCGTGTCTAGCTCACTGTTTCCTCCCTTGCTACACAAAAAAGCATAGGTATTTCAACTACAAATGGACATACAAGTGTTTATCTTGAATAGTTAGCAAGCAATGACCGTTTAAAATCCCAGCACTCTTTTTCTGAAACCCTATATATATCTATATTGTAAGTTTAATTTTGTAAGAACATCTACAAGTTTCCTAAATGTAGCTCACCGTCAGTGCCATACGCCGAGACTTCTTGGTTGCCCGACAAGGGGGAGGAGAAGTGATGAGAGTGCAGATTCTTGTTTGTAGCTAAATGTGTTAACCGAACAACACTTCCACATTTCACAGGCTCTCTGAAACAATCAACCTTTTTCTAACCCTTATTACAAAATAACTATTTTTAGGAAATCAAAATAAAACTGCCAAACCTTAATCACATCCCCTAATAACATTTGGTTAATCCGAACGGTCTTTGAACAATAGTTTATGCACAATTCTGAGTTATTTTAGGAATGTGATACTGTTAGCGCAAGATGATCATTAAGCGTGTGTGATAGTAACAATGTAGGCGGGAAAAGGGTCGGGTTTGAACTCAATGAAGAGGGAACGGGAAGAGGACCATTTTTTTTTAAACATTAATATTTTACTTTCGTTCCTGTTTAATTTTATCTGGACTTTCATCAACATCCAACAAGACAACCAAAACTGCCCATTCATAGTCTTACTTAATTATAAAATGTGCAGCAATATATAGGGAAAAATTATATTTAACTAAAAATCATTTAATCGGTTAGGTCAATAAAAATATTGTGTCTAAGAAGAAACTTTTTAACATTTTCTTAAACATTGAGTATATTCCTGGTTAAAGGTTTAGGTGGGAATACCCGTTTTGGGTCCCTGAAAATTCCCCCAAAAAAGGTTTTGAAAATGATGTGCTAGAGGATAAATAACTTGATATGTGTTTTTGACCTCTGGGGACCTCAAAACAAAAAAAGCAAATCGGTTTCAGGTCTATGTCTTATAATAAGACCTGTGGTAACAGCTTAATCGGTATAGACTACGGTAAACCCTTGATGTACGGTATCGATATTTGTAGACTAGTAGCACATACACCTGCATTTTATTTAGAAGTAAAATAATATTTCTATTCTAAGAACTTAATTGTTGATTTTTAAGTAGATGAAAAATGTTTAAAAATTGTAATATTAAAAAATAAAATTCGTTCTATTATACCTACATATTTTTTCAGGTACGGTAAGGGTTAATTATATTTACAGATCGGGAAAAATCATAATTTTTACCCTCGAGACACTAGCTTCTTGGTTTCACCTCGAATGACCCAATGAGAATTGACATCTTCTTGAGATTCAGTTCCAGTGACTGACTGCTGCCCACTACCAGTTCCGTACTTTACATCGTGCGAGTGCAGTCTGACCTTGTAGTCAGTATTGAGGAGCTTCAGAACAGAACCGATGGTCACAAATTCACCAGCTTTTCCTGAGGAACATAATTAGGTTTTTGAATTCTAACTGAAATGTTTCTGCTGGGTTTAATCCTGGGAGAACTTCACCTAAACTGCAATAAATTTATTAAAAAGGTGGGATTTCTGGTTTATGCTTCAGCTAACAGTGATATGAGTGTATGACTTCAAAGCAGAACTAGTGGTTACTGAGATTGCTGCTACAATGTTAGGCAAAACAAAATTTGGAGTGTACAATAAATATAGATTATTATGAACAATTTTGTAGAACTTGGATATAAAATTCCACTGGTTAAAACCATTAATAATACATTTTTTCAGAGCACCTAATGGATCTTAACAATATTGGCCAGAACGGATTGGATACCCTGTCGGTGTAGGCAAACTCAATTTAGTTCGGATGAGTCTATGGGTCTTAAACTCTTTTGAGTCCCACACCGCACAGGCTGACCACCTGTGTAAAAACATTTTCCAGCTTTTCCCTAATAAAAAAAATCTTAGAGGTATGCGATTGAACTGTAATCAATTGGATTTTATTCTTAATAACAAATAATGGTACAGATGTAATTATAGTCCTTTCATTTTGATCTAGGCCTACTGGAACTTAACCTTATTCGGATTAGGCCTAGTGGGAATTTTGAATAAGCTGATTTCTTTGATAATGTCATATCAATGACGAAATTGTAACAGTCAGGGTTGTAACATTTGTTTGAATAATTTAAATTATGATGTTTAAATAACATCTTCATCTCAATGATAGTTAATTGATAAGTGTAACAACTATGATCTCAAAATATGTTGATGTTATGGCAACAATTTCAAGAGATTCAGCTCCTTCTCCCCTCCATGAGTTATTTTTGGAGCACCGATACAATGATCAAACAGATTCATCATAATTAATTATACTGTAGTAGTAAATAAATTATGGTATTAGTATAAATAAATGTTCCATTGTTTGCAGACATAGGCTAAGCAGTGTGGGAAAGCACAGAGAAGTAAAATAACTTGAAACTTCTCTTTGACAAAAGTAAGATTGCGCAATAACCAATGACCCACATAAAAAAAACGTCAAATTTGTACCTTAGTTCGTCATCACTGAATAGGCCTAACAAAGTTAACAACATATTAGTAATAACATTAATGTTATTAGGCACTTGTTCAATACATACAATTATTGAATGATTCATTAAGAACGAACTCCAATATTTCGGCCCCACTCGTCTCACGGGCATCTTTGCTCGCCCGTTTCCTCTTACCATTTCCAGCTCACCGGTTCACGGGCCCCCTCAGCCCCCCCGGGCCCAGGCCCTTCTGTTACGCCATTGCCAAAGGCCACTCCTCATTTTTAGTGGTAGGGGTAAAACTTATCTGACTATGTACATCAAGCCATCATGCATAGGCCTAGGCTACAAAATTATCTAAACAAAAACTGTTGGTATTCACTTGCATCAATCCATGTAATCTAGAATGGAACTGTTGGGAACATTTTAGTCTATGCTCGGCTCAGACCCCCCACCTACTGTATACCTATATAACCAGTAATATCATCCCCCCTCCTCACACCATAGCCAGCTGCGCGCACAGCCTAATGGTCCCAACAGTATGTTACTTACTCTAATTTAGCTTATCATTTCATCCCATCTTTATTTTGATACACTGATGAGAACCTAACAAACTAATGTGCACAAAATCATTGGTGTAGGTTAGGCCTAGTTAAAAATTTTTAACTAAAGGCACTGTTTAAAAACAGTGTGGGTACATGTTACGCTCACCATTGTTGTAACTTAGAAAAAATACAGCTCGCCTATAAATTTATGGGTTCTTAGGAAAAAGCAAAGTGGGAACATGGTCCCTACTCGTTCCCGCTCTATTATATCACTACACAAAAACTTAACCAAACCTTAACCAAAACCTTAACCAAACTCATCCCATGATTACACAGCATTACCATAATAAACAATATTACATAAGTTAGGCTATGCATTGAATAGATTACAGTCTAGTCGTAGTAAGCATCACTAAGATTGATCAAGATGAAAATAAATACTTTTATGCCACACTACACTATTTTGACGAAGTTCCCACGCTATGATTTAGTCCAGAAAACAGCAGCAGCAGGGGGTTTGCTGCCAGCTTAATCAAATGGGGTTTCATTAAGTACTACCATAGACAATAAAGTAAATATAGACTGTCAAAGAAAGGTTTTGCGATCTGCCGCTAGAGCGTTATCGCCTTTCGATATTGGTTATCAGTATTCTATTCGGTTTCATCGTCGACTACTCGCCAGCTGTTACCAGCACTACCACTCTTGCAAACGAAATGCTTACTATATCGCTATTATCGTCTTCTGCAATGGCGTCAAAATCATGAACATCCTCCGCGGCTGTGTAGACATCATCATTGAATGCTGTGATCCTGAAACGTCATCGTCGTCCACAATTGCGGCAAAATGGTGAACATCTCCCGCAGTCGTGTAGACATCATCATCATCTTGCGCTGTCACGGAAACGTGATCGGTGTCTAGCGCGATAGCGGTAAAATCATTAAATTTCCCGACTTTGATATCAAAATAAATACTAAATCCCAACTTTTTAAGAACATTTTGAAATTCAATACTAATACCTGACTTTCCCGTTTTCCCCGACTACTAGACACCCTGGTTAATTAGATTTTAACCTTGCAAATATGAAACAAAACCTTCCAATAAACCACTTCCTAAAATTATGGATTAGTAAAGAAAAACTTTGAATCATTGTAATGAAACTACAAAAGTATAACAAATATACCTATGTTTAAAAAAAATACAATAAATGATGGCATTTAAATTAATGTATTGCTTAGTATTAAATAAGTCAGTAGGTAAACTCCAATTCCGGGGAATTCCTCCAATGAAGTTGGCAACATTACTCCCAACTACCAAGTTGTTATGGAAACGGTCGCTAGCGCTTGATGCTGCAGCGGTGTGCGCCATAATTACACATTACCCCTAGCGGTCGGCGCCGGAATATACACTAACCGCAGCACAGCTGACAGTGTATATTTATTTATTTTTGTCTATGGTACTACTGTACTGTAATGAGTTTTGCCAGACACCAACCAGCTGATAACTTATATTGTATTTGGCAATGAGTGGTTATTAAACAAAAACACTTAATAGACACACACACTCTTAGAGGTTATGACTAGTGATTGTTAGTCCTTTAGTTGGTAGTAATATAAGTTAGTATAAGGATTTGAACAGATTTAGTAATGCGTCGTAAACTATTTTACCTAACCTGCCATGTTAAACTTCCCTATCCCAAGCGTGATGTATACAACTTCTTTACTTCTCGAGTGATGTAAAGTTGAAAAAAACTCACTCGGTGAGGTAATGAAACCCATTTAAATAACATTGAGTGCTTAACTTTAAAAATATACCTCTATGGAGCCAACGACATTCAACGCTAGAAATGAATTGTTATGTTGAATTTTTTATGTTTTGAAGAATTTTCCTAACCTACCTAGCTTTTATTTCTAAATGAACGTTACTGTTAGAAGACAAGTGAAATGGATAATGAAAAATATTGTTCGTAACCTCCTGTATATTGTCGGGTTAGGTAAAATCTTGTACCTTACACGTTACGCAATTAAAAGCTAATCACGTAATTTAAAGCAGTTAATCACTGCTTGATGTAAAAACGCTCTTACTACACTTGTAAGGTAAATAGCTATTACGTCACTTGTCCAAAATGTGTTTACCAGACTCATATGGTAATCCTGCACTCAACTTTGTCTCGCACGGGAACGACCCCACTTGTCCGGTAAGCACCTATTTTCAGGGACACAATATACTATTACGCCACACAAAGTTACACTGTTTAACTGAGCTTCCCACTCAAGAACTTAGTCCAGAAAACAGCTGTTTGCCGTTAGCTTTTAAATAGACTAAAAAGTAAGTTGCACAAGATTGATTGGAGCAGTATGACAGGAGAGACAACAATAGACAACATCTACAACAACTTTTTATCAACTTTACAACTCATTATTGATGAAACCATGCCTAAGACACTAAAGAAGATCTCAACAATAAATAGGCCTACAATATTTTGGAATGAACACACCTACAACCTAAGAGACAATCTAAAAGAGGCGCAGGATGGATACCAACTCACTGGTCTGATCCAGGATAAAATAAAATTTCTACAGCATAAGGCAGCATATGATCGTGATATCATAAATAACAGGAAAATGCACAATCAAAACAGAATACGTAAAGCTGATAATAAGAGCAAAGAAATCTGGAACATCATCAATTCAGAATGAAATAAAACAACTGCAAGAAAAAGCAACATTACCCTACATATTAACAATGAAACCATTTCCGATCACTACCACATCTGTAATATTTTTAACAAACAATTTGCCCTCTCCACTCCAAACCTGCATAGAACCTCGAATATAACCCAAATACCGGACCAAACCAACGAGATACCAGCACTGCATTCCTTTCAACCCATCACTGAAAAAGAACTAGACAATCTCTTCAAGAGCCTAAAGGCAAATAATTCATTAGGCTTTGATACAATAACAGGGAAAATGTTGAAATTTTGCCAGGAAGAATTCAGGAATCCAATTAGATACATAATAAATGAGTCAATATTACAGGCTAAAATTCCCAAAAAACTCAAAATTGCTAAAATCCATCCGATATACAAGAAAGGTGAAGCTAGTGACCCAAACAATTATAGGCCCATTTCTAACCTGCCCGTTATCTCCAAACTCCTAGAGAGAGCAATATATAATCAAATTATCACACACCTGGACTCCAACAACCTCCTCTCAGTATGCCAACATGGCTTCAGGAAGAATCTCAGCACCACTACCGCAATCTCAAAACTAGTTACACATATCACTGATATTTGGGAAGAAAGAAAAAATGCCTCTGGAATCTTCCTTGACCTACAGAAGGCCTTCGACACTCTTGATTGGGATATCCTCAGAACTAAATTAATCAGCATGAATATCCAAGGCAAAGCACTGGAATGGATTGACAGTTATCTGACAGATAGATATCAATATGTAGAAATAGAAAGTCAACACCATAACACCATTCACACCACCAAATCATCTCTTAGAACTACATCAAGAGGAATTCCCCAAGGTTCCATATTGGGTCCCCTCCTCTTCATCATTTACATTAACAGCCTCCCCTCCAGTTTTGACAACGACCAAAAATGCATACTTTTTGCCGATGACACCACTATTGTTGTTCCAACAAATCGTCAAGTATCCAACATTAACTTAATAAAATCAACAATGGATCAAGCAACAACAGCCTGTGAAGATATAAACCTCATTATCAACAAGAACAAAACTGTACACATCAACTTCCGAATAAACAATAACAATAAAAGAACAGACGATTGGTCTGGACTGAGCATTCCCACGGTTGACTCAACTAAATTCCTGGGTATCTACATTGACGAAAACCTAAGCTGGCAGATCCATATAGATTACCTTAGTAAAAAACTGTCTACTGCACTCTTTGTACTCCGTAGAATCTGCAACACCACCGATCTGGAAACCACAATGATAGCCTACCACTCCATCTTCGCTTCACACTTGAGATATGGCATTGCCGCAAGGGGTTCTACATCTGCCAAAAACCTCGAAAGAATATTAATTCTACAGAAAAAGACTGTAAGAACAATCTTGAGGTTAGACCCAAATGAACATTGCAAACCACACTTCATCCGACTCAACATCCTTACCATCACATCACTGTATATCCTTGAAACCATCATTTACTCCATAAACTTAACACCTGTCCGCAGACAAGAACTCCATACACACAATACAAGACACAAAGCAAACATAGATCTACCCCAACATAGACTCTCTAAATTCAGCAATACACCACAATACACTGGCTCAAAATTTTACAATTTGCTACCACAACAATTTAAAGTTCTACACAACAATAAAACATTTGTCCAACACTTAAAAAAATACCTCACCAATAGACCATATTAGGTACAACATAAACGAGTACATAGAGGAACACTCATACGTACACATACGCCAGCTCACTTCGTGAACAAATAGAAAAATCCCGTCCAGACGGAAGAATTATGACGATTCCCCGATCTACGGATTGTGGTGAAGACATCGAAGGTAAAAGGTAAAAGGTAAATCAAATGGGGTTTCATTACGCAAGTTCCCTACTATACTGTTCTGTAACGGGTTTTTACCTGACAGAAACCATCTGATTAAATAGTTTTTGGAAATGAGTGGTTATAAACAAAAACATAACCTTACTTAAAATTGTTAGTCCTTTAGTCGATGGGAATATATTAGGATTTGTATAGATTTTTTACGTTAAGTTAGTTTAGAGTAGAAGACTTAAACTTATGGCGTAAAATATCGTAGCCTATGTACCCCTAACTCGTCCAAAATGTGTTTACGGGACTCAGTAACGACTACACTTGTCCGGTAAACACCAATTTTCAGGACTAGTACCGTAATATACTATAACATATTAACAATAGGCCTATGTTTTACCGGCGGAGTTGTACCTAGGCCTCTATAAAAAGTTCTGTCTTCTGTCATGGTGGGCTAATAATGGGCTAAGCACAAGCACGTTCTGTTTACAACCTAACCTAATGAAGCTTTTGTTTTTTAATTACTCTAGGCTATCTAGATTATTAAATATTGTATTAAATAAAAATTAATCTTACCATAAACATTGTTTATTGATAGCAGACAACACAAAAAACCAATGCAATAATAAATCCTGTAGGAACAACTATTTTGAAAATTTCTCATATTAAGGGGAACACAAACACTACGATGTGTTGAAGATAAAATTGTTCAAAGCTTAAGAGTCAGGTTTTTGCGAATTATTTGATGAGGAGTAATAGCCCGTCACTTCTAAAGAAAACTCAAATTTTGACATCGGTCACCACACCACAAACAATACAATATACAATAAGTTTAGTCAGTCAGAGCATCAGAGTCGCTTACTGGTTACTGACTGAAATGTCTGACTAGTGACTGACAGTTCCTTTCCTTGTCAACACTGGTAAAATTTGTCAGTAGTTCATTGGTTAACTCGAAAATTAAGTCAAGGACATTCAAAATCAAAGAAATCACAGATATTTAATATTCAGTCAACCACGTAAGACTACCATTGATTTTGAGAACCCCTACAGTAACCCCGGTCACCTTTAACTCCAGGACGCGGCCTTCAAAGTGGCAACGTCGCAAGTAGTGTTGCAAGCACGGCAACCTTTAATGAAATGAAATGATTTATTTACCGTTGATCATGTACGTGAAATAGGTGTTGTCATATGATTAATACAATGAATTTAAACAGATTGTCATACATCTATATAACTAAAACCTAATTTCTACACATGTATTAAGATATTCATATATATCGTAGAAGGGATTGTCCAATTAGCCAAGCAGTTACCCCTTTTTCGAAGATTTTGGGTGTGCAGGTCCTTGCCGATTCATGCAGATTTTTAACAAAAATAATGCAATTTGCCTTGTGTGATGTGCCAAATTTTGTCAATCTGTGCTGCGGAATATTTAATTTTGTCCTGTTGCGTGTTTCGTGTTCGTGTATTTCTTGCCTGGTGGGAAAAAATTGAAGATTAGTTTTACTGTAAATAAGAATATGTAATATGTATAAGTTAATTGCTGTTAAAATTTTACTTTTGTATAAATAAAGGTCTACAGTGGTCCAATATGTTAGCTCTAATAGTTCTAGTAACCTTTTTCTGTATCAGAACATCTGATACAGCAGGTGCATGTCCCCAGAAAACACGAGATTATGAGATTGAAATAAACCAAAGTAGGTAATTCTGAGATATTCATCTGACACAGATTTCCTGAGTTTCCAAAATAGATAGCTGACCCGTAAACATTTTTTACAAAGATTATTGATTTGAACATGCCAAGGCAATTTGGAATCGATAATACGTACTCCAGGGGATCTTTCATGATATGAATAGTGTTTTTGACGATATAATTAATTAGACAACCAATAATAATCCATTCATCGAGAATTTCAGAATTTAGAAACTATACTAAATTTCTTCTGTAGTGATATGTTGCCAATAAAAAGGCATTTGTGGCTGGAGTGTTATTTGAGAGTGTTGTGACAGAACAAAGAAAAATTGGTTGACCTATTTCAGGTTCTAGTGTTCCTATTATCCCAGGCTGTTTAGCATTTGTTTGGAGCGGACTCTATATAATGCCATAGACATGCCCACAGGCTTGCCCTTAAGCCAATCTTAAATTGTTTATACTATGGGCCTATTGGGCAATGAAAACCCCTGATTGACTATGCCCTCACTAAAAAACACATAATTTGAAGTTGCGTTAATCTTACTGTCTAGCTTTGTTACAAATGTTAATATGTTCTTACTCAATAACAATTTACACCTGATTTGTTTATATATTAACAATATAACTACAAACATACAAACTATTTGTTGTAGTTCTTTGGACGGGGCACACTTGAGCTTGAGAGGTGACGTCATCCAACTAGGGAAGAAAGGGTTCCCTTCATTCCCTTCACCTACGACAAATTTCCAAGGCACCGTTGAGCACATAGCGTTTACTTTTCGTAACAGGCGACTACAGCCACAGCCTGACTGATCACTTATTGCAAACGAAAAAACTGGCCACTGAAAAAGAAGAACAGGCCACTGTAACCCACTGTAACCTGCCGGCCCGGCAATCGAAACACAACCGAATACGGTGACGGTAGTCTGTTCCTGTTCCTGTTGTGAACCCAGCACTATCCCGACCTGTGGGCAAGGATTTCTTCTTCACGCATATAACATAACCAACCTAAATTTTAAAGAATTGACTGAAACCAAGCCATTTCGCCATTCTACGACGGCGCTGAAGGGCCACCAACTGATTAAAAAAAATATTTTCTTCATATCTGAGAAAAAACTTAGAATTCTAAGATTAAAGTCAGAGCCCGGGAAGTAGGCTTCCTCTCTGAGAAAAAAGTCAGAATTCTGAGTTTAAAGTCAGAAATTACAACTAGATCTAGTGGGCGTTCCCCTCTGAGATTTAAGTCAGATTTTAACTCTTTGCTCTCTGTCTACCCGTCCCTTTAGCGATAGGCTAGTCTTGAGTTTGAGTTGAGTATTGACTGAGTGAATGAGTAGAATAAGTTATAGTCTATTCAAACTCAGTCTTTACAACCATGGACACATATGCCATAATGGCTCTAACTTAACATATGCATCTAAATGCCAAAGATACTTTGGACCTTTGTTCTTGTATTTTCGTCGACGTAAACGTTTGCGGGTCCTGAGGTCAAATCCTACAGGGTCAAGTGCTTTAAGAATCGAACTAACTGTGTTTTGTTTTACTACAAAGCCATTTTGGATACATTTCAAATGCATCCATCTGTATCCATGTAGGCCTAACTGGTCTGAGTAGTTAAGCTCATTCCTAATGAAATGTTTCACCTCTTCAATTGAAGACTAATTAATCCTCCTAAACAAACCTAAACCTTTTTAAAATAGAGTACGTTTCAACTGTCTAATACTCAACACAGATGTGTTATATTTACAAGCAAAGTAAAGCTATATTTCTGCCTGAGCCAAGCCTAATCTAAAATAATCACAAAAATGGCTTCTCTTTCATTAGTGTCCATTTCGGTGCTCAATTCGCCGTTTTGTTAGGCAGTAGAAGAACGTCCAATTCAAGGAACGCCCACAAGTTAAATTCTGACTTTAATCTCAGAATTCTAACTTTTTTCACAGAGAGGAACGCCCACAAGCTAAATTCTGACTTTAATCTCAGAATTCTAACTTTTTTCATAGGGAACGCCCACTTTTTAAATTCTGACTTTAATCTCAGAATTCTGACTTTTTTCTCAGAGAGGAAGCCGACTTCCCGCGCTCTGACTTTAATCTCAGAATTCTAAGTTTTTTCTCAGAGATGAAATATTTTTCAAATATTTTTTATAAAAATATCTCAAGAAATATCTCAAGTCAAATATTTTTTTATAGTTGGTGGCCCTTCAGCGCCGTCGTACCATTCACATTGATTCTAGAACTGAACAGTGAACAAACAAACAACAAACTTAATTTATTTAGCTGTTATCCGTGGCATTTGATTTATCTGTGATTCCTGGCGGAGATTGATTTATATGATGTTGCCTAAGCCAATAGGCCCTGAAAGTGTATGATTTATGGAAGAAATAAATAACATCAAACTGACTTTGAAATTTAAGAAATTATTAGCACTGAGTGAAATAAATGGGTAGGTACCAAACTTATAACAAGGTTCATTTAAATTTTATATTTAGCCTAGCATATATAAAATTCAATAGTTTTGTTATTGCCTTTGCCCATAAGTTATTAATGACTAGGTAACTTATCATGGTCATGTTTCGTGACTTCTTTTTTAGATGGACAGTTGTTCTTGTAATGTTAACACAGCAAGGCAATGTGTTAACCAAAGTGTTCACAGCAGTATCGCAAGTCCTTTCGATAATTTTTTCACTACCAGACACATCATTAAGGTGCAGAGCACATCGAACACGAAGTGAAGTGGGGTAAGTTACAGTTCCTTAACTGGGCTATGCTAATATCAATTGAAACTATCGAATTGGAGTTGTTGATTAATAATCAATATTTTTAAATATATCTATTATACAATTAAACTATCATAACCTAACCTAACCAACCAAACTTGCTGATGGTGAAAAAATCGCATGAAGGTTTACTAATCGAATCAATAGTTTCAATCGATGTTAGCATAGCCCAGTTAAAAAACTGTACCCGTGAAGTGATATGGATCCACTTCGGTGAAAAGTGAAACAATGAACATATGAATGATCTAGGCCTAATCTAGGCATGTGGGGAAGGTCGGTTGGGGTTTATGCAGGTTTGTTGCTGCTTTAAGTTTTTTGAAGTTAGATTAGATTAAGGCCCGGTTTCCCCAACTCATTTAAACTTAGTTTTAAGTTTAACCCTAGCAGTGGCCGATCGACTCCCGGTGACGATCTGACGTTGATGCTTAGAATGGCCAACGACTCCTTGTGACGATCTGGGCCGAAAATTTTTTAGCGGTAAAAAAAACACTTACAATCAACTCAGATGAGAATAATATATATAGCCTACCATTCGAAAGACCACATTCTGAACTTTCATTTTATTAAATAAACAAACTCTGTAGCAGGTATATAACAATGTCACGACGATTAGAAATCAAATGAATTTTCGACGCGGCACGACTTTTGCAGCCGACACTTGGGAACTGGCAAAACACGTCTTGTTTGGCATTACCCTGCTCGGGTAATTTTCGTCGTGGGATGTTGCGAGTGTTACCACTGGATAGCCATTGATTTTATCTTCATTGTGGTAGTAATATTTATAACGAAATATTGATTGCACAACCGGTACGATTTTATGAAAACAGCTGTTTTCGACATTTTTAACAAATGGCCAATCGACTCCAGATGACGATGTGAAAAATACGAATTACATACAGTGTAATTTATTATTACTAGTCATATAGTATATCATTTTGAAGAGGAAGAAATTTAGATTCAGAGAATGGCAGCCCTGCACTCAGGGTTATTTCTGTATGCTCGCATGTAGACGATGGAAGTGAGTCATTACTGCTACAGTCTGTCAGCTGTCTTGTATTGCCATTGTTTGTTTGTGTTGTTGCCGGTAATAGTTTTATCCGCGATTTATTACTAAATATGTTATTAGTTCGTAGTGTTAGTGTTAGTGAAGCGTTGTGTGTGTGTATAACAGTAATCTTCATGCATAAATATTACTGAATTGTGTGAAATAGTGTTCATAAAAGGTTGTATTTTGTTAGCATCATGTCCTAAAATGACGTTTCTGACATTCAGAGATTGTTGTACCTATATAATGATATACCCAAGGTGTTATACATTTTTATAAAGGTAAATGAATACACTACAACATGTTTATAATGGTTTGGGGGTAAAAAATTTTGTAAAAAAGTTATAGCCTATACTAAATAGGCCTACTACTG